CCATTTCATATGGAATTATAAGAAATGGTCATGAGAAATTACATCAAATTTAACAGTTTATCTAAACTAAGCATGGAGTTAAGTTTAAAAAGACATAAAACAGGTATTCTAGTAAAACATATATCACAATGAAAATAAAATATAAAAAGCACGAATAACAACATGGGAGCACATCTATTTTCGAAATTTCTGACATATAATAAAAAATAAGGTAATAAAAGGATGTGCTTAAACATCCACATCTTTTTCAATATTTTATTTACAAAGTTTAAAACGACGTCTGTACTGATCTTTGCATTTTTCCTTTACATGCATGTTGTATTTTTTTTATAGTTTTTACTTTTTATTAACTGAATTCGGTGATTGTAGGCAACATGTATCTATTTATGTACATTAAATATTTTGATCAATGACATACCCACCCCCTTTAAAAAACAAATAGGCTTTGCGTAAGTATGGAAGGGATTATCCGCCAGTTCACCTATTATGCTTTATGACATTCCAATTTCCGATAGTGAATTTGATGTTAGATTTTGGTTATTTTCAAGACTTAGTGTATTTTGTATCTTTATAATTATAAAGGTATTTTGAAATATATCTTTGTTATACGTTAACTTTATTTTTATACAAGTTTTTCTTGTTTCATTCTAAAAATTGGTATGATTTCCCTTAAAATATATTTGATACATTTTAATTCAAAATCACACATTAAAATCAAGATTAGGTATTCAGTGTATGGACGCTACCGAATTATTCATTTGTAATAAAATGTTCAACATTTAATCAAAACAATCGAAATATCATTCGCAGTATAAAATGCTATTTAACATTGACTCATTAAAACAAAATCGTTTTCATAACAATGTTGACGTTATCAAATCGAAGCACAGAAGGCGCTGAATTTGTTTGGGTCTCAGAATGTCAGAAAGGTGAAGGTTGTGAGATTATAAACCAAATAGTTTGTATAGTGTCAACAATGCTGTTTCCAGTTTTATAGCTATAGTAAATTGGCTTTAAGACTAATTGCAACACTGATATTCAATTCAATGTTTATTTGGCTGAAACAATTATAATAATAAAATATATATAGAAAAAAAAGAAGAAAAAAACACGATTGGGGTTTGAACTCCAGACCTCTCGCTTCCAAAGCGGTAAACCCCTCGACCACGGGGAGTTATATGATATCAGCCACAAAGAATACCATATTATTCTAAATTAAGAGTTTGTAACCCTTATTAATTTTGTTCACGGTAAATATGTTGTTTAACGCTGAAGTAAATAATCATGGAGCTGAATATAAGCATGTATATCTATAAGAAAAACACAATATTAGAAATCTTCGACCAATTGGGAACTATTTTTTTAGTTACAAAAATTAATGCGCCTGTCATTTGACAATCTTTACGCAGTGATATCCCCTTAATTTTTCGGCGTTAATGTACATATGAAGGGAAGTAACCGCTTCGAGGAGTTTGGACTACTTTCGGAAATTGCAAATAAGAACATCAGGGTCTGAAATTTCGCTACCATTATTTGTTTGGTCTGACGACCCAAACAAATAAAAAAAGGAAGCGGGGAACCAATTTTTTTACGACAGAGGTCGCTGTTTAAAACTAACTGATCCCTTTCGGTGTGGACGTAAAAATCACCTCATGGAAAAGGTCCGATCATACATCGTGATACCCTGCCTTGAAAAAGCTGTTACTAGCTCTATATACAACAACAACGAACATGTTCTCTCTCGCATAATGCGCAACATATCATTTTTATTCTTTTTAAATCAACTCATTTTTGAAGATCTTTCAGAAAAGGTATGCATGTGGCATACTGTATGCGGCTGATTGTGAGATATTTTGCCTCAAACTTGGTCTTTTAACTATACGGGAAATATTTGGTAGTCATTAACCTCAACATGATCGGATAAGTTTTCGTAGTATCATAATTGTAAACACCGGTCAAGGAGCGGTTATTATTTTTTACATTTTTACCAGTTATTCTTTGTCTTCAAAATAATAAGAATGTCTTCATATTAATTACAATGTATTCATATTAATTAGAGTGGCGGATAATACCTTCCATACGTAAGAAGTATGTTCATACATTTATCAAAAAGTATAGTTAATAAATTGTGTAATAGTTATTCTTTGTCAATTCTATTTTTCTGTGTGAGTAACCCATATTAGGTGAACGTGCAAAATGACTGCATCATGTACTGTTATATCATCAGAAATACCTGAAGCATATATTTTCAAATGATTGACTTCTAGATTATTTTAATGTGCGACAGTATAATCGCAATAAGTAATTAAAATTGAAGAATGTTGTTAATGTAAGTGAATTTAAGATGTGCCGTCAATTTCTTAATTTTTACATAATTATAATGAAAACAATTTATTAAATAAATATACAAATTAATATATAAATTGATAAACAATGGATAAAAATGCACAGTTCAAACTCAATATTCTGGCATTGACATTATGGAAAAACTATAATGAAATCATACTTTGACAATAATGAACCTAAGTTGATATATTTGTTTGCATCAAATTATCCAAATATGATGTTAGAAATGTAGTCAAAACTACATTTGTACTTGAGTTAACCAAATGTTGTACTAGAACTTGGTTACATGTGTATAGAGCAAGTTTTGTTTAGAAATTTTCAATATTTCTCATTTCATGATGTACAACGTGTTCTTTTTTCGACCAAAGGTCGTCTAAAATCAGTTTGACTTCCTGTGAAATTTACAGAGAAGAACAGAAGATAAGAAGAATTCCCATTGGTCATTTTAAAATACAAACTGAAATCTGAGCCGTTCATTAGCCGTTCTAAAATGAATTTGATTTTTCTTGCCATTTTAATATAAATTTTAAAATGACATTATGCTCATTTTGTCGCTGTCATGTTCAGCTGAATTAGTAATATATTTCAAAAGATTGACAGTTATAATGAATGATACTGATACAATATAAAAAAACAACCTTTATTATAAAAAGATTGACTCCCTTTTTACGAAATGAACATAACCCATTCATTCTGAACGATTTTGATTTTTACCGTTCACACATTATTTTATTTGTACTTTAATGGGCATAATGTCACTTTAAGGAGAGTTCAAAAATGAAATGTAAAATTTGGTCTTTAACTTTCTTTTCAAATTGCTCTGATAATTATTTATGTATAAAACAAAATATTTTACACCGCGTTTGTTATCATTACATTTTTAGAGAACAAGAACTTACTTTATTTAAGAATTTACACAGTTATAAATTAAGTATAAACCTATATTGTTTATATTGTTCATGATCCTATAAGTTTATTCATGCATATGAAAATATCGAAAAGCACATAAAAATCCGATCTTATCAAGTAACCTCAGTTATGATGTTCAATTAGTGTCCAATATATTACATGATCATTGATGTGTTCAACTGATATAATGTTTTTTAATTTTCATATATATCTTTGCAAAATTTTATGAATCACGTTTTTACAAAAATAGATACCGACCGACTTCGTAGATCTTAGTGTTAAAAAAGAATTGAGTTCACGAAACAGGACAGGTGTATATAATAAAATACATTGATAGTTAAAACGAACTGTTACGGAATAATTGAGTATACAATGACCTGTTCTATTTGTATGTTTGGTTTCAGACCCTCAAACTTTCACATGTGGTGGAGGGGTTATGACCCGATTTTAAAAATGTCTTTCTCTTGTTTGTTCATAATCATGGAACCAAGGCCAGTTAACAAAGTTTCTACAGTGTAATAGCCTTTTTCACCATAGCTGTTTGCATTAAGTTTAAGATAAAACATTTGTTGTTGTTTTTTTATTTTCTCCATTATCTTTTAATTTTCTAATTGCAGTCTTTCATATGGGATTACTTTTTCAGAATACTGTTAATATTGCATATGATTACAAAAGTTATAAAGTTATTCGCGGAGTGACGACACGCTAATTGTATTAACCTTCGCCCCGCGCCCCCGCAAATAAGAGTGTTAAAATGGTTTAATAAATAACACGTCGCCCCGCGGGGTCGAGGAGCGAGATTTTAGAAATAAAACTGCGGTGGCGCAGAGCGAAAATACGCGCATCAGCGGGGCGCGGGCGAAGTTTAATAGCCCCACGCCCACGCTAATTAGCGTGTTTTCGCTCCGCGCCCCCACTACTTAAATTTGTTAATTTTCGCTCCGCGACCCCGCGGGGCGAAGTATTATATGTTTTCCTTCCACCCGAGTCCCGTTAATAAGCATCGCGCGCCTATCATTGTTAACCTGATATGAGGATGCTCTTCGACCGTTAACATGCTAATGACAGGGAAAATAACTGGGGTTATCCTTACTGGGCGCCCCCTCCAAAAAAAAAAAAAAACACTGAAAATTGCAATTGCGGTTGACTTTTCCCTAGTGTCATCACCCATTTTTTTATCAGTTCCTTATCAGGAAATTACTGATTTGGCTGAGTTGTGTATGGGGCTGCAGTCAGTGAACGTCGTCTTACTTTTATAAGTTTTTTTCTCTCGTTCGCATCTTTTTTTGTGTGGAATAAGTTCATGAAAGATACCACCCTTTTATGCTTTCATTTGTGACATTGAATTCACAAAATTTATATTTTCATTGCTATGCCGGTGCTAGCTTACTTAATGCGTTACTTAGATATACCTTGGATCCTTACATTATTTTCCAGTTAATTAAACAAGCGTAATTGAAAGTAATGAATAAGTTATTTTCACGTTTTGGCTGAACTATTTAATGCTCTCATTTCGAGGTATTTTTTATGAAAGCCTAATATGCTGCCAGTTGCCATATGCGATTGCACAATAGCGATTTATTGGTGAAATATACTCTGCTTTGTTTTTTTCTGGCATTGGAGTTTGTTATCTTTGCTGATGTTTGATGTTGCTCTTTTTCAAGGATGTCTTATTTCTCTCTTACAGCAAAACTTACATCATAATTTCCACTATATATTCTAATTAAATGCCTTCTCTATTTCAGTGCAATGCTATCCGAACGGACCTCCTTGGGCAACATGTTTGATGATGTTCCCTAAGCATGGTGCCCAACGTCAACTTCAACCGTGTCCTTTCCAGATCACAGCTAATACATCCTCGTATTCACCCTCAGATCAAGTGCAACGTAAGATTATTGAAATTATTTAATACAAACTCATTTGTAGGCTTTTGTCCTATTCGTTAGCTTTACAGATGCACTGAGCAATTTAATGTTGTGGAAACTGAGTCACGTGAACATATATGGTTTAAGCTGCATGCCTCCAGATGAGCCAATTTATGTCAAGAAAATTAAACTTTGGAAAAATGCACTAAGATTTTAAGAAAAGCAAACATATTAAAGATTCAAGTGATACTTTATATCTTATGTGCAATTAATAACTGATTTTGCAGTATTTATCAGCATATTTCTACTGCGTTACTCACGCAGTAGAGACTATTTTTGCATATTTGAACCTCCTTTTGGTAATTAACGTGGATTTTAAGTATCGATTGCAATGTGTTAATAACGGTTTTTGTTCATTTCACAATATTTTAGTTTTAAATACATTTTCAAAATGTTCATGAAAATTAAGATGAGTCTGGAGGCGTGGTGCTTTAATCTGAACTTTCATTTTTCTATTAAGTTTATTACACTGTGCATTAATAGGTTTGTATGGGGGTCGTTCTTTCTTTCTTTTTTCGGGGGTAGGGAGGGGATAAATATAATATTTTTACATTCAATTAAATCACTGCTTAGCTATAACACCATGTAAAATAGGGCAAAATATTCCATTGCTTCCTGAAAAATTTGTCTTAAAAAAAAGAAATCGGGGCACACTAAATCAAATAATAATATCCCAAACAGAACACACATTGAACTGTAAAAACACGTGTGGAGGCAATACCACCTCTTGAACGTCATTCGATTTGGAAATAACGCCGTACATAAATGTTTCTTCTTTACTCATTTAAGTTATCGGTTTAACTTATATTCAGTAAAGCTATAAACTAAACCTATTGTATGCGGCAAACATTGCCAGAAATGACTCCTTGCCAAAGGCAAACGACATAAAATTCTCCTTCTTCCAGGAATAGGAACTTATTTTTGCATTGACATTTATTTATATTTTGTTTTACTTATATATGTGGTTTCTAGGAAACCTTAACCTTAAAAAGAGGGTATTAAACAAAATTGTAAAGCATTAGTATTTGTACTCAAAATGAAACTGTAAGATTTAAAAGTCCAAAATTCGATATAATTTTAATTTCTCAAAACCATTTTTTTTACTAGTATTTGAACACAAATTGTCATAACTGAAATAAATTGGTAGTTTCAGAACAAGCAGTTATGACAATAGTATGTGGTTTATTATGTAAATATTACACAAGAAAAAACATTATTTCATTACAACGTACTCACTTAAGGAAAAATGGTTTGAGTAAAGATGCACATACTATTTTAAATTTTACTTTGTCTCTTATAATCTAGTTAACATTTTAACAATTACGTATATGTATATACACAAATTGATAAGAACGCAATTATTTTTTTTTGCTGTAACAATTCTAGCGGTTCATTGTCATATACCATTTCTCGAATATTTCTATTGGTTTCCCATTCCGAAAAACAACATTTTTTATGGGGCGTTCAGTTAAAACAAGATAATGCACATAATTTCCAAATCAGGGCGTAAAAATTACTTTTAAAGCATGGCAGTATATTGAATTGAATTCATAATGGTTTCATTTTTATTCTTCCTCTGTTTTGCAATTCTAGATTTTGAGAGCCGTAGATACACGTTTATGTGAGAAATTTATGAGAATTGCTAGGCGGAGCAGGTCGGTCATTTAGAGTATATATGATATTTTAAGATAATAAACGTATTTCTTATAAAGATTTCTTTTCGAAGTAAAGTAATATAACAGAATGTTGCTTTAATTTCAATCTATTTAGAGACAATAACAAATAAGTTACCATTAAATTTGCGTCTTACACGTGACTTTGGGTTTTACACGTGAAATTTCTTCGTCAAAAAGGTGTCAGTTGTAGCCAAGGTGATACTACCAAATTTCAACATTTTTTTTTAAATCTAAACTTTTTTCAAACCTGTTTGTAACGTTTATGTTAAACGAATAGTTCATGGAAAAAGTTATTTTTAAGGTTCATTAAATGACCGACAAGTACACTCCACATGTTATGTAAAGTATCTTCTATGAATGTATGATGTTATTTCTGGATTCAGTCTTCTCTCCTTTTCAGTATATGTTTCTGCAAAGTCTGCCGGACAAACATTCAAAGGGATCCAGATTCGAGCACGTCCAAAGTATGGCGACACCGAGCAATCAGTTGGTGAATTCATAGAATGGCCAACAAATAAAATCAAATCCTTTGATTGCTTAGGAGGGAGAAATGTAAGTTTCTAAATCAAATAACATAATAAAGGGCAAAATGAGAAAATTAAAAATGTTTGGATAGAATAGAGAAAAAAAGAATCCCTAAAGAAAGCCCAACACGGCATAATTGAAAATGTTGCAGACTCGATTTGATTGAGCCTGTTCATGGACGGTACTGTTGTGCAATCTACCGTTCACGCCCACTAGCACCGGCTTAAGCATAATTCAACATTTATCATGAAATGTTACAATTTTGAATTTTGAATCATCCGCAGATGTGTTCATATGGCGGTTACCATGGACCATTCAATGTGATACGTAAATGCCATTCCATGAAAAGCGGCATATGTTCCCCAAATAAAAGAAATGCATGTGCCCTTAACGAGAAAACAATGGGCGTGATATTTGATAAGCCTGTTCATAGACATCAATATTAAATTCAATGCAACATCTACACCCTCTAGCACCGGCTGAGTACATGAAAAATTTCTCTTAAAAAATTGTAAATATGAATATTGCATGTTTCTTAGCACTCAGTGTGCGCAATAATATAAACTAAACAAACAAGAGAGGCTTTTCTATCTTTCTTATCATTTAACATTTTCAACGGTTATATATATAATTTACTACTTAGAAATGTTTGTTTTCTTTTTAATTTAAATGTGCATTGACGTCCAATATATCATATAAATTTTTAAATAATATCATTACAGAATATGATTGGACACAAGAATACACTTCCGGTTACGTCACTGGAGCTGAAATGGGCGGCGCCAAATATATCAGTTGGAAATATTGAGATTGAGTAAGCATCTGTTTTTTTTTCTGGAATTGCTTATAGGTTCGTATAGAAATTCGTAAAAACAAAGATTTCAAAGATACGTTGGATTTCGAAAAATAACACATGCATTTACTCAAATGTTAGTACGTTGATTGTTATTTGAGCTGTGTCATGACAAAACCAACATAATGTGTTTGCGACCAGCATGGATCCAGACCAGCCTGCGCATCCGCGCAGTCTGATCAGGATCCATGCTGTTCGCTGTCAGTTTTTCTACTTGTTATACGGTTCGTAAGCGAACAGCATGGGTCCTGATCAGACTGCGCGGATGCGCAGGCTGGTCTGGATCCATGCTGGTCGCAAACCCATTATGTTGGTTTTGTCATGACGCGGCTCATTTCTTTGTTGTTTTTTTGTCTGGGTTTGGTGCTGTTAACGATATAGTAGATTTTCAGCATTGATGTACCAGACATAATCGACAGTGTAACTGTACAAAATTTGTTGTTTTTACTGGTTGCCAACATATATGACCTATGTCGCAAAATTGTTATATAACAAATATTTGCTTATACAAGACCATAAAGGACATGTCAAAGGTGACAGAAGTACAACGAAATTTTAATACCGAAAATAAAATTTTATGATCCATGAAAATCAACGGTGTAAAGATGCAATATTATATTTTTTTTCTAATGTTTTTTTCTTTCTACTCAATCCTTACTGATGTTAAAAACAGATAAAGAGATGAAAGTGTCATATTTTCTTTGTTGAACTATTTTATGACGGAAAGTATAAAACTGTCTCATTTTTGTAGCACAATGTCACAAGTTATGTTAAGATTAATCACTGGTATATGAAAATCATCTAACTCTATCTATGTTTGCATCCAGGAATATAGCACAGTTCCGGCTAAACTTTGTAGAAAGTACACTTGAACAGTTACACTGTATTTATGTTGTCAGTGCTTTCTTTTTGTCATCTCTCAAGTAGCTTTTTGAAAGATTTCAAAGGCTGCATATAATATATTTGTCAAGTATTTTTTTAAGATACGGAACATACACATCACTACTTTTTTCTGATGAGCCATTCAGGACCATCATGACACTCTTATTTTATTTTTTAGGATGACAATTCTCAAGGATTTAACAACATTCTGGATAAAGGAGACTGTTGAACTGCGAACCAGTGTGCCAATAATACCACCGTCAATTAACAAGGTGATTGAGTAGTCTACATGTGTGTTTGTAGTTACTTGAAAATGCAATAAAAACAATGTTATAAGTATTTATTTTATTTTTGGACACTTTTTAATATTCAAATTCAAAATATTTATTAGTATTTTTTGTTTGTTTTGTTTTGGGTTTTACGTCACATCGACACAGTTTAGGTCATATCGCGACGTTCCAGCTTTACTGGTGGAGGAAGACCTCAGGTGCCCTTCCGTGCATTATTTCAGGCACGAACGGGCACCTGAGTAGAACCACCGACGTTCATTAAGCTAGCTGGATAGCTTCCTCACATGAAAGAATCCAAAGTCCCTGTCGGGATTCGAACCCACAGCGGTGAGGGGCAAGTGGTTTGAAGTCAACGACGTTAACCACTCGGCCACGGACGCCCCATATTTATTAGTAACAGTTAACTAGTAACAGTTAACTAGTAACAGTTAACTAGTAACAGTTGAATACTGCATAATAAGATTACATCATACTACGTTTTATTTACTCGTGATTTTTCAGTTATCTTGCGAATCTTTTCATTGCTTTGAAATGATGAGATTTGTTAATGTTTTGTTTTCTCTTTATTACATTAACATTGAACAATTTTGTTAAAATGCATGTAATATGTGTTACAAATAATCAAAATTTAATTTTATGATATGAGATGCACGTAAATCTACTTTATGTAGCTTAACAAATTGTAAATTGTACAAATGTTACTTTAACAGCTGTCACCAACATTTGAGATAATTGACTGGTCGGCGTGCGGGGACAGTAAAGGATGTTTCTTGTATCCACGAACGTGCTCGGGTCATGACTGTTATGCCGCAGTTACATTTAAGACAACAAATGACTCGGTGGAGTTTGAAATGTTTGGTTCCCAGAGAGGCTACGTATCTGTCGGATTTTCTGAAGATGTTCATATGGTAAGAAAGAAAATTCAGTATCGGTTTGTGTTGTTCTTCATACGACTTTTTTAAAAATTGTGTCGGCAATTCCAATAAATCCAAAGGTTTTTCGAACAATATCTAGGAACGCTAATGTGTTGGTGAATTTGAGTGAATCACATTGTCAGCTTTAACCAAAACTAGTTCAAACTTATTTAATCATACCAATGTCTATTGTTTGAGAACGAAAATAATTTAGGCAATTAAGTGTTAAAAAGGGAATTAATTCCTTTCACTTTTTTAGTTCTGTCAAAATATTGAAGGTAATATTTTGCTGTATTCCGTTTTTAATTAGAATTTAATGGCACAAATTAATTAATTCCATTTATTTATTCATTTTTCAGGGTGACGATGAAGCAATTTTATGTTCAACAGATGAGACCAAGCATCAGATTCAACGTGGACTGAACCACGAGTTGTTTTATGAACGTCAACTAAGTGTAACTTACTTATATTAAAATTTAATAACACATTCAAAATAGAAGCATAAATTCACAATTCACTTTATGTTTTATGAACAATAAGTCAGGTTTCCGAATAGTAAAATTTTGCTCAGTGTACAATAGCAATTATCAAAATAAAAAATCAACAGAAAGTCATTTAAATGTGTTTCAATTTCTGAAACATTTTACAGAAATCAATAAGCACTTATTTCTTGAATTTGCGAAAATAAAAATATCGCCACAATTCTCCGATCTACAGTATATTCGTATTTTTTAAGAATAACGGATATTCTTTGGATTTTTCAGCGTGACCTTTATGATATACAAGGGACATACAAAGATGGTAGACTATACTGTAGATTTAAACGTCCATTGTCTATGTTTGTCTACATCGGAGAGGGCCATACATCAACGCGATATTTTGACTTTTTGAAGAATTATTATCTTATGCTTGCATGGGGCCAGATTTATGACGGTATTCCCATTTCTTCATCAATAACTGTAAACATTCTTGTTCTGTATTCATGATTAAAGTGTTGTTTCCCTTTAACAAAGCTTGTTAGAAGATGGAGCACAATTAGTTAAGCATGCCCTGCAATATAGAATCACCTTTTCTTTCTAAACAGTAATAGTTATCAAAAATATTTTTAATTTTTATATCTTATATCTTTTACTATGTTTTATGTGAACTGACTGTTACAAAGGAAACAAACTGGCTATAAAAACTAGCATGTACAAACTTACTTCCCGTTCGTTTACAAGTTTGAAGCAAATCCGTTCTACGCATGCATACTATTGTACGGACCAAGAAAATACGATTATATCATTCTATATTTGCCATTTTGCGGTCAATAATTTTCTTTGAGCAATACAACGAGTTCACAGTGGTTTCTTTGCCCGAAAGAAATGAAAACAAGTTGAATTTACTAAGCATGCAATAAATCATACAAAAATCAGAAGTACCATATATTTGTACTCTATGTGCAATAAAACATACATAATGAATTGTATATACTTGCAAAAATGATGCTGTTATTCTGTTTACCCACTGTAAAATTAAATAATGTTACTAGAACAATATAAATAATAATATATTTCTCATTTTGAAGATACTGCTATCGCTAAGAAACACACAGAGCTACCTGTTATAACGGCTACAAAAGTCAGTCTCCAAACTTACAACATTGTACGAGGATCATCATTACCTATAAAGAAACAAATTCACGGTATGTATACATCAATTTGTACATTTATTTCGTCGTTATTCATGTTATCTTATAAATTATAAACATTCTTGGTGATAATTTATTTGCTTTCACAAGTTAACTGTGTACCAAACCCAAACAATATCTTAAATGTTCTACATACACATAGCTGTTCTATGGCTGACAATCAGTGTTTGTCGTTCTCAATTTTGACGATTTAAAAATTATTGTAGTTGATTTTAATTGCACATTTCGTATCGTTCGAAAAATCTTTTTTCATATTCCATAAGGCTAGCACTTTGGTGTTTGTGGAGTAAGAAGTGACATAAGCAAAGTGATGTAATAATTCAACGACAAGTCCTTACCTTAATTTTTAACACTTTTGCTATAATTGGTTATTAGTTTGCTTTGATGCTTCTAATATATATCTGCTATCTATATATTTTATAGGTGCTTTAATGTTAATAGCATGGATGTTGTTAGTGTGTTTAGCGGCAGTCATTGCAACACATTTCAAAAACGGCTTTCATAATAAATCCATTTGGGGAAGCAAATTATGGTTTCAGGTAAATTAGTTTAGAAATGTATATTTTGAATTCAATGTGCTCAAAACTATTTTTTTCTTTCTAAGCATTCCTGTCATTGTTATAAGCTGACTCTATAGGTCCGTTGATAATTTATATTTAGCACTTATTTTTATCAATTTTATTATTTTACTCTGACGTTCTTTCGTGGGTATACATACTCGTATGTTTACTTTCTTTTGAATTGAATCTCCATCTCTTTTTGTTTATCATACAAGTTTGTCATTAGTTATATCGCAGTTCGATATTTCAAAACAAGCTTCCATTCAGTGTACATATGTAAAATATTTGCTGCGATGATCGGATCATCTAACATCGAATTGCTATTTCAGATTCATAGATCATTGGCGGTAGTCACGTGGTTGTTAACAGCAGCAAGCTTCATCCTAATCTTCGTGGAGGTCGGTCAGATGACAGAGGTAAAAGAAGATACATTTTATAAATATGCATTTTCCATTTTACTGATAGCAAAGGAATAATGAATAATTTTTTCAAATGTGATCAAATACGGAAGAATTTTAGTACAAAAAAGTACAAAAATAGGGTATTGTTTGCTCTATTTTGTTGGCGTGCAATATATAGGCACAGTAAGTATATATTATATGTATATGTGTATATTATTGGGAGGTATATACTTAACAAATAAAACATGGCCTTGAGAGAAAAATGCAAGTTTACGGACTGGTTGGTCAGACTGAGGAAGGTATATGGCCCGAAGCGCAGCTGAGGGACATATACCTTCCGAGGTCTGACCAACAAGTCCGTAAACTTGCATTTTGCCCGAAAGGCCATGTTTTATTTGTTATATTATACCGAATCTAAATCATTTCACCCCTTTTGTTGCTGACATTGTTACTATAATTTACTTTCAAATAATAATTTATTTGTTCAGTGTGTGAAATATTTCAAACCCTAGTCGGAATTATTATTATATTTTTAAAGCGATACAGAAAAAAATCATGCTCTTCTTTTGTTATTCAATTTTTTAAAATCAAATTAAACAGGCAGAAAACGAACTTTAAGATTTAATATGACGTCAACCAGTCCATATTAGAATTATGGACCGCCCCCGGTCTGTATGCGGTTTATGGACCGGGTGACGTCATATTAAATATAGAAGGGCGTATGCAAATGAGGTATAATATTTGCTAATAAATATGTGTTTTTTCAGTTTGCTGTTATACACAGCTACCTAGGTATTACAGTGATGTCTGCATCAACTCTACAAGTCATTGTTGGTATACTTCGACCAAAACCTACCTCTAAATTCAGAAATAGTTTCAACTGGGGTCACTGGTTTTTAGGAAAAAGCACGATAATAGTAGCAGGTAAGATAAACAGGTAGACAGTTGTAACTATCTTTATTTGAAAACAAAGTATGATATCATATATACCCAATTTTGTAATACAGAACGATTTTATCTTTTCTCTGTTATATTCAAACATCATGAAAATAGCTGATAATTAGTAACTGTTCTATTGGTTGGTTTCAACCTGGGCCGATTTAAGAAAGGATTTTATCGCTATCATTGACGTTGTCAACAATAAATCAACTACATCCTCGATGTAAGGTACGTCCTTGGTATGCCTACAGGAGAAAATGGTTCATCCTCTGAAAAGCAACACCCTTTTGGAGGCAATTTTCCGCAAATATGTGTGTTGCTGCTAAAAGAGGTATCCCTCTTGAGATTTTAAGTATTGCGATTAATTTTAATTTTGGTAGATACGATTCTGTTGTAAAAAGGTCATTGATGTTTAGAGATTACACTACACTGTGTGTCTTAGACCTCCTCTCTCTACATCGTCTGTTATTTATTATTTCAGTCGTGACATTTTTCTTTGCCTTTAACATTGATATGATACCCAGTCCACAGAAACGGTTCGCAAATATTGTCCTCGGAGTTTTCGTTGGTTTGCAAGTATCTTGGGAGATATGGTTTGGAATGCAGCAGAAATGTCATCGAAAAAGATCTTCAGGTATTCTTGCTATTGACTTTGCACTGATTTTTGTCGTGTTGTTTTTCCATTAATAATTGCTAACTAGACCTATCACTGAAGGTGATTAATACCCCCACCAGCAACTTTTTGAAAAATAAGTAGTCTGAAGAAAAATTTCAACACAAACTATCAACTGTGTACAAAGAAATATTTCAATTAACTGTAATCCCAACTGGGGTCTCCAAATAAGCTTGCTATTCACAAAGTTTGATAACAATATCTCATTCCTAACTCTAGTTATTGTCCGGAAACCATTTTTCTATTTTTAGTAACGGTGACCTTGACCTTGACCCCAGGGGGTCCAAAAACAATACCAACCCAGGTCTTCATATAAGCTTGCTATACACCAAGTTTGATAACAATATCTCATTCTTAACTCTAGTTATTGTCCGGAAACCATTTTTCTATTTTTAGTAACGGTGACCTTGACCTTGACCCCAGGGGTCCAAATACAATACCAACCTAGGTCTTCATATAAGCTTGCTATACACCAAGTTTGATTACAATATCTCATTCCTAACTCAAGTTATTGTCCGGAAACCATTTTTCTATTTTTAGTAACCATGACCTTGACCTTGACCCCAGGGGGTCAAAATGCAATACCAACCCAGGTCTTCATATAAGCTTGCTATACGCAAAGTTTGTTAACAATATCTCATTCCTAACTCTAGTTATTGTCCGGAAACCATTTTTCTATTTTTAGTAACGGTGACCTTGACCTTGACCCCAGGGGGTCCAAATACAATACCAACCTAGGTCTTCATATAAGCTTGCTATACACCAAGTTTGATTACAATATCTCATTCCTAACTCAAGTTATTGTCCGGAAACCATTTTTCTATTTTTAGTAACCATGACCTTGACCTTGACCCCAGGGAGTCCAAATGCAATACCAACCCAGGTCTTCATATAAGCTTGCTATACGCAAAGTTTGATAACAATATCTCATTCCTAACTCTAGTTATTGTCCGGAAACCATTTTTCTATTTTTTAGTAACGGTGACCTTGACCTTGACCCCAGGGGGTCCAAATGCAATACCAACCCAGGTCTTCATATAAGCTTGCTATACACCAAGTTTGATAACAATATCTCATTCCTAACTCTAGTTATAGTCCGGAAACCATTTTTCTATTTTTAGTAACGGTGACCTTGACCTTGACCCCAGGGGGTCCAAATGCAATACCAACCGGAGTTTCCACATAAGGTTGCTATATACCAAGTTTGGTTACAATACCTCATTCCAAACTCTAGTTATCGTCCGGAAACCATGATGTGGACCGACCGACGGACCGACCGACCGACCAACCGACCGACCGACCGACCGACAAGCTGACTCCTATATACCCCCCCTAAACTTCGTTTGTGGGGGTATAATTAATTAGTATAATACCAACTTAAAAATTATACTCTTTCGCTTCATTTAAGATATTGTATGTCTGATATATTCATTATTATAGATATAATTTCTTAACTTTTTGTATTAATTTAAAAGGCACTCCATTGACATTTATTACTTTTGTGCAAAACCTCACTCTGGTTTTCCAGAATAATCGTTTTAGTGCAAAATGACTTTAAAATGTAAAAGCATTTAAACGCTTTTAATTCAAATACAATCGCACGGAATTCATGTGACTATATTTTATTATTATTTTTGTTTTATATTTTCCGTTTAAAGAGTATGTAAATCTTTCTATATTATCTTTTAGATAATTACAAATTAAGTGAAGTATCAAAGGAACAACCTAGAAACGGCAAGGTGTTACCAGATGAAACTGACAGTGTATCAAATCCGTCATATATATCACTCTTCTTGTACATCGCTAGCATGCTTGCAATATTAGCAGCCGCGTTAGCATCTATTTTTATATTCTAATATTATTAGTGCACTTTATTACAGTTATATCAACAGCACGATATTTTACACTCTTTGTGCCAATAGAAAATATGAGCAACGTTCGAAATAATACAATTCTCTTAGACTCTTTGTTCCGAAAGTAAACATGATCACTTTTAGCAATGACACAATATACCATATGTTCCGGAAGTGAACTTTGTGACCAATTAAAAATGGCAAAATACATTCTTTGTTCTGTAAGTAAACATATCATCGTTAGCAATGACACAATATACTTTTATTCCGTATGTGAAATAAATGACACAATATTCTATATGTAAATGATTGGAGCTAATTGTCAGCATTCAATATGGTCTCAATAAAGATTCCAAACACCTCTCAGCAGCGATTTACCTTAAATTTATACTGAAAGTGTTTGAAGATACAACATCGGTAGCACCAGCTGCTCCCATCTGTATATTTCTCTTGTACACCTTGAGAAAAGAATCAAAATTCAAATATAAATACAATGTCTATAGTATTGTTCGACAATATTGACCTGGCACTTTTGCATTTGACCCTTAGTTGGTTAATTCTTTAAACGTTAAGATGTTGCTTGAAGTGAACAAATATATCAGTATTCGTTAGATACCAGTGTTTATTCAATGACGTTTACGAAAGTTAATGAAGTTCCAGGTCAGTATTGTTGGACAATAAAATAAGTTAATTTACAAATGGGCATTTCAGTGTCCATGTCTCATTGGTTCATATCTTCTTGTCATATTCCAAAAATAATCTATCATTCATGTTTTGATAACTAATTAGCAACTGACCAATTATTTCGAAATTCTACAAAAAACACTTTTACTTGATGATTTACACCATTTGTTGGCTGTTGAACAGTTTATAGCTTTTTGCATATACTTGATATCGTTGATATCAATCGCAACAAATAGTTGGTTAAATGAATAAGATAAGATTTAGGAAGCCATAGTTTGGACTAATGAATGACAAACTAACAAAGGTAATAGAGCATAAGTTTAAATAATTCCAGAAGCCCTAAAATGAATTTTTTGTGACTTATATCGCCAAATGCCTTGTCACATGGAAAATTAATATCATTTTCAAATTCTTAAAAAGCTTGATCAGCAGTTTCTTTACATGAACTTAAGGATAATTATTTTAATAGCTATAATTTGATTTTACCCAAATACGATAAGAATATCTGAAAGGTCTTTTCCACCCACTCCCGTTTAATATAATTTGTACATATATAATGTGCTATTTTTACAGACACATTGAACTCGTGAATGTTTTGTATTTCGATTGTGAGGTATGTCATACAGCCTTTTTATATTCACTGGTGTCTATCATATTTGGTTGGTAAATGCACTGGGTGATCCAGAAAAAATTGTCATTGAGGTCAAGGTCACTAGTGCTAAAATGAAATTGTCACTTTCGATCACATAGCTTTTATTTATTGACAGATGACCATTGAGATATTTCGATATTTCAGAATTGTCAAACAAAAATCCATGAAGAACTGAAATACAATAATCCTTTCAGACTTTAAAATGAAATAAATAAAAAAGAAACATGTGAAGTAAATTAACTGTTGCAAAAAGAAGACAGACAGAACAGGGGTTGTGATAGGTTGGAATACGCCTTTATAACAGAATTAAACTAAATAATATTTCAAGAAGACAGTAATACTATGTCTTAAAATAAGTGTATTGTCCTAACTGTTCAAAATTAATTAAAATTTTATTTTTGAACTAAAATATTTTAATATTTTTTCATGAAATAATCGTCTGCTGCACCGTTTAGAACTGACATTTCTATGCAATCGGTGATCCTCGGTCTTAATCAGTTTGTTTGTTTACATTTTACTGGTTCCACCAAATTCAACCTAAGGTAGGGTTTAAGTTACCAGCTGTTTGTATATAAAAGCTCGAGTTAGCCGTGCAACTGTCCAAGCCATTTTCATGACCACTTAAATACTTATCAATTGCTATGCCACGTGGACGAGGACGAGAAAAAACAGTGGACAGACCAATGAACCTCTACAGCGTCGCATGCAGCTAGAAAGCGGGCCTGGGAGTAGTGGCAAACATAGGATTTCAGCTCCCTATTAACCACAGCCAGATACATACAGATGGGGATAACATTTCTTGTATTAACGCACCCCTGTAGAATTCTGAGCAAGTGCAGGAAAGCTCGCACAGCGACACGAGGCAGACCGGGGGTAACCAGAGGCAGATGAGCTGGTCGATATGGTTGACGATAGGTTTCTTCAAACTGAGACTGCTGTATGAGTTCTTAGTGATTGAATTCCTTTTTGGGTTGGAAAGAGGGCAAATACCAGAGGCAAAAAACGACCATGCCATGCGGAGATCTCACGGATGTTTTACCTGGGCTAGGGCTTTGAGCCTTATGTTTTTGTGAGGGTGACCCTTCAAAGTTGTAAAAATTTGAAACTGCAACAGAATCAGACGAATGGTGTTGACGCAGTTTTACTACGGATATTGTGTTTTTACGTAAATTCATACACTTTATAAACAGAAAGAACAAATCGCCGGTTATAAAAAAAACTATGCCACGCAGAGGTCTTACGGATGTTTGACTAAGGCTAGGGCCTTCAGCTTTATATTTCTGTAAAGGTGATCCTTCAATGTTGTACAAAATCGAAATCAGACGAATGACGTTGAAGTAGTTGGCCTATGAATATCGTGTTTTTACGTACATATTCGGACATTTTTTAGTTAGACATATTGTTGGAAAAGAGGAAGCGTATTCTGTGGTTGTTTGAGTGTTGGATTAAAATCAGATTAAACAATAAGAGTAGGAGATAAAAATAAATAATAAAGATTAAAATTTAAAATATAAACCTAAAACAACATCTAAAGGCGTTATTATCAATTCCGTGTATAACACATTTACCTTGTACATTAATGAAAATAAAATATCAAAATTGTATTGAAATAAACCAGTAAGGTTAAAAACGTGTATAGTATAAAACTGTACATGATATACCATTACACAATAAGGTTTTGGTAAAACTGTGTTTATAATGGGTTATTTGAGTTATACTATCTATGATAACGGCCAGTTACATGTATTAAAATATGATAAACAAGATCAACAAGGAAAGGCGGCGTTCAATGAATGCAACCCGGGTTTAACGGTCAAACTGTACATAGTAATACACCACCCACGAAAAATTCAACATTAAATTATCCAACACAAACTCAAAATGTTAGGTCTTTTTGTTCCTAAACATATTAAGGTTACACAAAGGTTTAAAAAAGGTATAGTGGAAATTTTGAAACTTCACCTTCTTATGATGAATATAACTTTGTATGTTCGCCACTTAGAAAAGATAAATACTCCTGAGAAAAAAATGCAGAATAGATATAGTTCTGATATCTCAATATAAACACTTGAAATAACACCATTATTTTAAAATGAAGGGTTGATACGTCCCAGTGACAGCTTTGTTCAGCCTAGTTTAAACACAAAGCAACATGAAAGTTTGTTTGTTTCATTTTACGCGTTTTTCCAACAGTTTTTCAGTCATATAGGCGGGTAGTTTCCTAACCATCGTTCCTGGACAGTTACACCAGTACTAGACTACCTTCCTCCGCGCTAAACTACCAAAGCATCTCCCGGGGATCGAACTCACGCCAGAGAGGTAACTGGATTAGAAGTCATCGACTCTAACCCCTCGACCACGGAGGCGGTGCAACATGAAAGCTCAGGAACGTTACCCCCCACATGTACTTCATGACCGAGAAGTGGACATATAACCAACTTATTCTTACCATGTTCCTAAGGTCACAATAAGACAATATTATGACCTAAAACATTCAGTTCCTATATTTTTGGGGGCCAGACATCATCAAATTGACTACAAAGTCACAATAGATGCATGTCAAGGTCCTTTACCGCATAAATGATATGTGAATTTCGTAAGCATGAAGTCCATTAGAAAATTTTATGAATGTGTATTTTAAATGAACAAAAATATTACCCTCTTTCCTAGTTACTATAGCACAAAAACCTTCACATTTGTTTCGTTGAACAGGTTTCAGCGTTATTCTATCTTGCTGATGATGTCGCGTTGAATGGTTGTCTTAGAATATTGGTTCTGTGTGGATATAAGCTTTATAAATCTTTGAAATATAAGTAACGCTGTCAGCAGTGCGCTGCTGCAAGAGACATACATCATAAAGTTAATATGGATAACGCAACAAACATTTGCTTCGAAACCTTTTTTTTGCGTTTTTGTTGTTGTTTTTGTTGTTGTTGTTGTTTTTCAGCTTTGACCCTTACATGTCTGTTAATGTAACTCATGGAAGTTTCACGAAATCGAATTTATCAGACGAAAGATTTTGAAGCAGTTCGTATAAGAATATTATGTTTAAAAGTAAATTTATACACTATATAAACAGCAGAAACAGATCGCCTGTCATAGACAACGACCATGACACGCAGAGATCACACGGAAGTTTACTTTGGCTAGGGATTTGAGCCTTGTATTTTTGTCAAGTTGACCCTTCAAAGTAGTACAAAATCGAATCTACAACGAAATCATACGAATGGTGATGAAGCATTTGGCCTGACTTGAAGCTAAACTATTCTTTTTATATACAGAAAGAATAAATCGAATAAAAACGACCATGATACGCGGAAATCTCACAGATGTTTTACTTGACCTAGGGCTTTGAGCCTTATATTTCTGTAAAGGTGGCCCTTCAAAGTTGTAAAAAATCGAATCCGCAACGGAATCAGACAAATGGTGTTTAAGCAGTTTTACTACGAAAATTGCTTTTAAACGAAAATTTATACACTACAAATTGCCGGTCATAAAACGGCAATGTCACGAAAAGATCTCACGGATGTTTTACTAAGGATATGGCTTTGAGTCGTATATTTCTGTAAACATGACCCTTTAATGTTGTACAAAATCTAATCCGCAACGAAATCACACGGATGGTTTTGAATCAGTTGGCTTACCAATATTGTGTTTTTACGTAAATTTATACACTTTACACACAGAATAAACAAATCGCCGGTCATAAAGAACGACCATGCCTGGCGAAGATGTCACGGATGTTTTACATGTGTTTTGGCTTTGAGCCTTATTTCTCTCTAAAGGGAACCCTTCAAAGTTGTACAAAAGCGAGTCCTCAAAGAAATCATACAATGGTGTTGAAGCAGCTGGCTTACGAATATTGTGTTTTTTAAGTAAATCTATACATTTAATATACAGAAAGAACAAATAGCCGGTCATGAAAAGCGACCATGCCACGCGGAAATGTTTTACTTGGACTAGCCAGTAGGGCTTTCAGCTATATATGACCCGTCACAATTGTGCAAAATCGAATCTGTAACGAAATTATGCGCTCTTTTCTTTTTTGTATCCTTTATCTTTTCTGCTGATTTCTCCTCCTAGGTCTGCCTTTACACATGGTTGACTTATAATACGAATTTAACATTTTCACCTCTCCTTAGTGATGGTATCTACCGGCCTGAAAGGTATGTCTTCGCGT